GGGTCTCACTCTGTTGGCTTGGGTAGAGTGCAGTGGCATGATGATGGCCCACTGCAGCCTCTACTTCCTAGGCTTAAGCAATCCTCCCACCTCAGCCTCCTGAGTAGCTGGGATCACAGGCGTTCCGCCACACCCAGCTAATTTTGTTTTTATTTTTTGTAGAGATAGAGTCTCCCTTCTGTTGCCCAGGCTGGTCTTGAACTCCTGGGCTCAAACAATCCTCCCACCTTGGCCTCCAAAAGTGCTGGGATTACAGATGTGCACCACTGTACTTAGACAAAATATGCCTTTTTATTTATTTTATTTTTTTTGAGATGGAGTTTCACTCTTGTTGCCCAGGCTAGAGTGCTGTGGTGTGATCTCGGCTCACTGCAACCCCTGCCTCCCAGGTTCAAGCAATTCTCCTGCCTCAGCCTCCTGAGTAGCTGGGACTACAGGCATGCATCACCACGCCTGGCTAATTTTTCATATTTAGTAGAGACAGGGTTTCACCATGTGAGCCAGGCTGTTCTCAAACTCCTGACCATGGGTGATCCACCAGCCTTGGCCTCTCAAGGTGCTGGGATTATAGGTGTGAGCCACCATGTCCAGTCCAAAATATGCCTTTTTATCTTCTTTTTTTTTTTTTTTTTTTTTTTTGAGGCGGAGTTTTGCTCTTGTTGCCCAGGCTGGAGTACAATGGCATGATCTCAGCTCACTGAAACCTCCATCTGCCTCCTGAGTTCAAGTGATTCTCCTGCCTCAGCCTCCCAAGTAACTGTGATTACAGGCATGAGCCGCCATGCCCAGCTAATTTTTGTATTTTTAGTAGAGACATGTTGGCCAGGCTGATCTAGAATTCCTGACCTTGTGATCTGCCCACCTCGGCCTCCCAAAGTGCTGGGATTACAAGTGTGAGCCACCACACCAGGCCCAAAATATGGCTTTTTATACCAATATTTTACAAAATACAAAGTATCTGCGCTTACCTCCCAATATTGTTTTTGGGCAGCCAGGCTGATCCAATCCTCCATTTGGGTAAAAGTCTATGTTTCCTAATGGTTCCTTATAGCCCAGTGCTAAAAGAGAACACACTCTGCTTTTATATGCTTTGAATTTTTCACATCTCATAGCTCATTTGCCTGCCAGATATAAGCAGAAATTATATTATTATTGTAATCCTATCACTTCAGGAGGCTGAGGCGGAAGGATCACTTGAGCTCAGGGGTTCGAGACCAGCCTGAGCAACATAGTGAGACCTCATCTCCATCAGTGAAAAAAAAAAGGGGGGACTCAAGGAACTAACATGACATCATTAGAAAGGGCAAAACCTGGGATTTAAATCTACATTTGCCTAATGGCAAAACTCTACCCTTTCCTTCAAAATTCACTTCCCCAAAATAAATTGCTCTGTTCCATCAAGCATTAACACGTACTTTGCAAACTTCGTTGTAAGAATGCCACTGTTTCACAAAGTGACAATTTCTTTCAAGGCAAATAAATGCTGAATACCACACCAGAATGCCCGTGATAGATGGCAAAGGTTTTTTTAGGTGGTCGTATCACAAAGAGAATGCCTGATTAAATGTCCACTCTGCTATTTCCTCAATCCTCCCCAAGTTTCTTCTCCAGTGCATCTCCGAGACAGCTGGATATAGGTACCCATCCTTGAGTATCACCCAAACCCACGTGACACATATCCAATCCCAAACAAGAAAACAGCATCATGAAAGACAGGGCCGGCTGCAGTGGCTCACGCCTGTAATCCCAGCACTTTGGGAGGCCGAAGTGAGAGGATCAATTGAGTCTAGGAGTTGGGGACCAACCTGGACAACAGAGCAAGACCCCCATCAGTACAAAAAGAAGAAAAAATTAAAAATTAATAAAGATGGCTGGGCACAGTGGCTCACTCCTGTAATCCCAGCACTTTGGGAGGCTAAGGCGAGTGGATCACCTGAGTTCAGGAGTTCGAGAACAGCCTGGACAACATGGTGAAACACTGTCCCTACTAAAAATACAAAAATTAGCTGGCCATGGTGGTGAGTGCCTGTAATCCCAGCTACTCGGGAGGCTGAGGCAGGAGAATCGCTTGAACCCAGAGGTTGCAGTGAGCCGAGATTACACCATTGCACCCCAGCCTAGGTGACAAAAGTGCAACTCCATCTCAAAAAATAAATAAAAATAAAGACAGGAATGGCTAAGAAAATCTAGAGAGCCAGAGAGTTGTAGGTGCATCAGAGTCACTCTGCGTGGAGAGATTTAACACCCGAATGTATCTTTCAGCTCAAGAAAATAAAAAGAACCAACAAGACCAAGAAGTCACGCATCCAAACCCAATTGCACATACGAAAGCACTGATCTTCATGTTGAGCGAATTAGCCTGTCCTTCATGGGGCATGATGATCCCTTTAAAAATATGAAGAGGCCATGGGATAATCATCCATGCTCTAGCACGTGGTCCTGGGTGCCTACATTAAACCAGCTTCCCTTCAATATTTCCGTGGATTTGGAACGCTGCCCGGAAAAAAAAGTGGGAATCTAGAGGAACCTGATCTGCCCCTACGTGATGATCTCCCCAGGGGAGACTCTGTAGGAGTCTGGGGGTAGTCACGGGCCCACAAGGACAGGAGTGTTACCATCAGAGTCAGAATGGATGACATCAACGAACTGCGCGTCACTGGGATCTAATCTGTCCTGAGGAGGTTTCCCGTTGAATAAAGGGCCCGCAGGGTCGAGGCCTGGAAGGAAAACAGTCACTTGGCAGCCCCACACCATGAGTCACCTGCAGCCGGCCTTTGATCCCTCTAGATGAGAGTGGCTCCCAGGCTGCAGGGTACCCTGCGGGGGGAAGCACTCACACTCCCGCCCCACTTGGCAAGACTCTGCAGCCCGTTCCCACAGTGGAGACAGTTACCCTGGCTGAGCTCCTGAGAATGGCATCCAGACTCCATCACAGGCATGTCTCATGCAGAGCTCCACAGCAGGAAACTCATGCACGCGTATGAGGATCAAGGGGTGGGGATGAATGAGTTCCCCAGGAAAAAAGCACTGAAGGGCGCATTAAAGAGAAAAGAGCGGACGCTATGCTCATCTTTATCTCCCTTTAGATGATTCAGACTTTTTGGATCTCACTCAGCCCTTCCTTTTTTTTTATTAATAACACTCCTTTATAGCTTCCACTCTTATTCATATGTGCTCGCCCGTTTGATCCATGTTGCAAACCTGTGAGGGAGGCAGGGTGTCTATATCATGATTTTCCAGATGAATGGACAGTGATTCAGGAAGACCAAGACCTTGATCAGAATATAGCCTCATACTGTAACCACCTCTATCTGTTGAGCTCTTGGTTTCACTGCCCTGAGCTTAGCAAGCTCAGCAGGAAAGGGCGAAACTCACTGGTCAGGCCAAGTATCAGGCTAAGTATTGAAGAGGAAAATCAAGTGGGTGTCAATCCCTGCAGAATGCACCCACGCTGTAAATGCCTAAACCGGTTTCTTGCCCTTGGTCAATGTTATTTGGGTGTTCCTCCCCACCACAACGCAGCATCTGGAAAAACAGGAGGGGAGCTCCTATGATCTTGTAACCACGAAATAAAGATTAAATGAAAAAAAAGAAAAGAAAAGAAAAAAAAGTCAGAGGCTTCAAAAGGTTTGGTTTACCAGATCCCTACCTGGAGTGAAGAAGGTTTTAAGGCAAGTCTCCCTTGAAGTTTTGTCTATGAATGTTATCTTATGTCTCCTATCCCCTGGTGCTACATATAAAATGCAAGAGATAACCATCTTTGCCTTGATTTCCTAAGTTCCAGCCTTTTTCTTTTTTCTGGGGTTGGGGAGAGAGCCAGTTGTGGGAGCTCTTGCTATGTTTCCCAGGCTAGTCTCAAACTCCTGGGCTCAAGCAGCCCTCCCGCCTCAGCTTCCCAAAGCTCTGGGATTACAAGTGTGAGCCACCACACTCAGCCTGCCTGGGTCTAGCTTTAATCCCTCCATTTCAGCTGGTCACAGTGGCTCCCATCTGTAATCCTGGTGCTTTGGGAGGCCAAGGCAGGAGGATTGCCTGAGACCAGGAGTTTGAGGCCAGCCTAGGCAACATATGGAGACCCTGTCTCTACAAAAAAATTTGAAAATTGCTGGGTGTGGTAGCTCACGCCTGTTGTCTTAGCTAGTCCAGAAACTGAGACAGAAGGATCACTTGAGCCCAGAAGTTCCAGGTTGCAATTAGCCATGATTGTGCCACTGCCCTCCACCCCAGGCAACAGACCAAGCAAGAGAGAGAGAGAGAGAGAGAAAGAAAAAGAGAGAGAAAGAAAAAGAAAGAAATGAAAGAGAGAATGAAAAAGAAAGAAATGAAAGAAAGAAAAAGAGAAAGAAAGAGAGAAAGTAATAGAAAGAGAGAAAGAAAGAGAAAATGAGCAGTGCCTGCTGTGGGGGCATATGCCTGCAGTCCCTGTAGTGCTAGCTACTTGGGGTGGGGTCGAGATGGGGAGAAGACTGAGCTCAGAGGATGGCTTGAGCCCAGGAATTTGAGGCTGCAGTGAGCTGTGATTGCACCACTGCACTCCAGCCTGGGTGACAAAGTAAGATCCTGCCTCAAAAATAAATAGGCGGGGCGTGATGGCTCATGCCTGTAATCCCGGCACTTTGGGAGGCCATAGGAGGATAGCTTGAACACAGGAGTCTGAGACCAGCCTGGGCAACATGGCAAAACCCCGTCTCTACAAAAAATACAAAAATTAGCCAGGCATGGTGGCGCAGGCCTGTAGTCCCAGCTGCTCGGGAGGCTCAGATGGGAGCCTCAGAGGTGATCACCTGAGCCTAGGGAGGTTGAGGCTGTAGTGAGCTGTGATCTGCCACTGCACTCCAGCCTGGGTAACAGAGTAAAACTCTGTCTCAAAAAAAGAAAAAAGACTTATAAAAGGACTCCTAAGGCCAGGCGGTAGCTCACACCTGTAACCTCAGCACTTTGGGAGGCCAACGTGAGCCCAGGAGTTCAAGGCCAACCTAGGCAACATCATGAGATCCCATCTCTAAATTTAAAAAATTTTATAAAATAAATAAATGGCTCCTGAATCTAAATCCAGAACATTCTGAGATCATTGCGAAATACAAACAGAATGTGAAAAGTGAGCTTTTCCTTTTTTTGTTGTTGTTTTGTTTTGCTTTTTGTTTACTGGCTTTTTGAGACAGGAACTCACTCTGCCACCCAGGCTTGAGTGCTGTGGCACGATCATAGCTTACTGCATCCTCAAGCTCCTAGGCTCAAGAGATTCTTCTGCGTTAGTCTCCCAAAGTGCTGGGATTACAGGTGTGAGCCACCTCGCCCAGCCATAGCTTTTTCTTATTGCTCTAAGATCACCAGAAAAATGTTCATATAAGAATCCTTGGCTTTTGTTGCAGCCTTCACTGGATTGAGAATTTGATGAAAATTCTGGACCTCTCACCGGGACAGACACCCAACACTTTGCATGCAATTTCAGGGGCCTCTTCCTCCCATACCCAAGATCAATATAAGCTCTTGAAGGACGTGCTGTCCAATAGAAATACAACATGAGGCCAGGCACAGCGGCTCATACCTATAATCCCAGCACTTTGGGGGACTGAAGAGAGAGGACTGCATGAGCCCGGGAGTTCAAAACCATGGTAAGATTCTAGCTCTACAAAAAAATTAAAAATTAAGCAGGTACACACCTATAGTCCTAGCTACTTGAGAGGCTGAGGTGGAAAACTGCTTGATCCTGCGGAGGTTCAGGCTACAATGAGCCGCACTCCAGCCTGGGCAACAGAGCAAGACCCTGTCTAAAAAACAAAAATGGGGCACAGTGCCTCACACCTGTAATCCCAGCACTTTGGGAGGCTGAAGTGAGCAGATCACCTGAGGTTAGGAGTTCAAGGGCAGCCTGGCCAACATGGTGAAACCCCTGTCTCTACTAAAAATACAAAAATTAGCTGGGCGTGGTGGCACATGCCTGTAATCCCAGCTACTCGGAAAGCCGAAGGAAGGAAAACGCTTGAACCCGGGAGGTGGAGGTTGCAGTGAGCCAAGATGACACCACTGTACTCCATCTCAAAAAAAAGAAAAGAAATATAATGTGAGCCACATATGTAATTCAAAAATTTCTAGTAGCCCTCTAAGAAAAGGAAAAGTTAACAATGAAATTTTATTTTAAAAATACATTTTATTGAGATGATAGACTTTTTATTAATAAAAAAAGAAAGATATAGGTTGGGCACAGTGGCTCATGCCTGTAATCCCAGCCCTTTGGGAGGCCGAAGCGGGCGGATCACCTGAGGTCAGGAGTTCAAGACCAGCCTGGCCAAAGTGGTGAAACCCTGTCTCTATTAAAAACACAAAAATTAGCCAGGCATGGTGGCAGACACCTGTAGTTCTAGCTACTCGGGAGGCTGAGGCAGGAGAATCGCTTGAACCCAGAGGCAGAGATTGCACCATTGCACTCCAGCCTGGGTGACAGAGCGAGACTCAGTCTCAAAAAAAAAAAAAAAATATATATATATATATATATAAAAGGAAACATTTACCCAAGTATATTCAAAATATTGTTTCCAGATGTAATCAATATAAAATATTTGAGAATGAATTACATTTCTTTTTTGTACTTAGTCGTTGAAATCTAGCATGTATTTTGCATTTATAGCACATCTCACTTTGCACGGGCCACATCTCAAGTGCTCAGTGGCCTTGTGTGGCAAGTGGCTACTGTATCGGACAGTGCAGCTCTAAGGTTCCTTCTCAAAGTGTGGTGTTTGCGACAACTTGCAACTTCTGGTTAAAAATAGAGACTCCTGACACCAAGCCTGGGGACTCTGATTCCACAAGTTAGCGTGGTAACCACCACCCCAAGGTGAGCTCTATACACAGCTTAAGTTTGAGTATCACATTTAATTTGATTCACAAGTGACATAGGCACTTGAAATGTTTTTAAATTCACTTATACTCTGCCATCTTCTGTTGAAGAAGCTAATGAGAAGCAGAACTAGAAGATGCCTAGAGAGGAAGAGCAAAAGGAAGGGCAGAAGAAGGGGAAATGAAGAGATGAGGCACCATCAAGACGTAGATGAGGGACAGGCAGACCAGTTCAAGTCTTGGGAGGTGGAAGTGAATTGTGTCCTTGGTTAACAGACCACACTCCCACCACCCAATCAGCCAAAGCTACGAATCAGAGCTCCTCTCCCTCCTCCCTCTCCCTCCTCCTCCTCTTCCTCTTTTCCCTGTCCTCCTCCTCCTCCTCCTCTTTTCCCTGTCCTCCTCCTCCTCCTCCTCTTTTCCCTGTCCTCCTCCTCCTCCTCCTTCCCCTCCTCCTCCTTCCCCTCCCCTTCTTCCTCCTCCTCCTTCTTCTTCCTCCTCCTCTTCTTCCTTTTTCTTCGTCTTCTTCCTTCTTCTTTTTTTCTTCTTCCTTCTTCTTTATAGACGGAGCAGGGGACCTGGATGACTTATAAGCATACCACTGGGAAAAGTCCCACCCACTAAAGGAAAATCTCCTGACCAATATGGCAAAACCTCATCTCTACAACAAACACAAAAATTAGCTCTGCATGGTGGCGTGCACCAATAGTCCCAGCTGCCAGTGAGGCTGAGGTGAGAGGATTGCTTGAGCTGGGGGAAGCTGAGGCTGCAGTGAGTCGTGATCGCACCCCTGCACTCCAGCCTGGGCAACGAAGTGAGACCCTGCCTTAAAAAAAAACATAGAAAAAGAAAAAAGAACTAACAGATAAGGGGCACAGACAAATTCTAGCTATGTGTTCTTTCTACAATAAGGGAAAATGAAATTTTTAAAAATAAAGACATATTGCTTTCTAAGACATAATAATAATAAATTTTAAACATAAAAAGAGGTTTGTTTCCCTAGGAAAAAAGGTAAATAAAATGAAGGCAGTCTTGTCCTTTGGGGTGTAAGAGAGCAAAAACCATATAGGACAAACCATGTGACCTCAAGTACCAGGGATACAGGAGATGACAGCTGTTGTGGGGTGTTTGTGAGAAAGAGAGAGACAGACAGACAGAGGTGGCATGCCCAGAGCTATCTGCCAAGTTTAAATAGCACACTCAAACTTGGTGGCCCAGGCTGGGCACAGTGGCTCATGCCTGTAATCCTACCTCTTTGCGAGGCTGAGGCAAGTGGATTACTTGAGGTCAGGAGTGTTGGAGACCAGCCTGGCCAACATGGTGAAACCTCGTCTCTACCAAAAAATACGAAAATTAGCTGGGCACAGTGGCATCTGCCTGTAGTCCCAGCTACTTGGGAGGCTGAGGCAGGAGAATTGCTTGAACCCAAGAGGCAGAAGTTGCAGTGAGCTGAGATTGCACCACTGCACTCCAGCCTGGGCAACAGAGAGAGACTCCATTGCAAAAATAAATAAATAAATAATATATAGATATATAACTTGCAGCCTTAAAAGTTTACTTCCTAAATACAGTTTTAATCATTTACCTCTCCCCTTTTCCCATCCAATTCTACCTTTTCAGTTTCCATAGATTTAAAAGAGCTCTCTTGGTATGAGGATGGATTCTGGGAAAGGTGAAATGGGAGAGCCGCTGTGGAAAGTTGCTAAGCACGAGGCAAGAGGTTCCAGCAAGGGAGTCTTTGTTTAGGATTTGACCTGCTGCATTTCTGAATGTTTTCACTCAGTTTTGGCCCGAAAGCTGATATTTAGAGAATGAGCCCCAGCCATCAAAATTCCCATCTCATTTCCTTATCTTGAGACTCCAGCTGTGCCTGGGGACTGACACGTATTAGGTTTATCTTTCAGGCTCTCCTGATCTAAATAAAAGGAAGAAGACTAACTCCTTGGGGCACACAGATCTGAATGAGACATAGCTGCTTTCCCAGCCATAAGAGAAATAAACTCATCATCAGTTTTTTCTATAGTATATACAATGTACGATATACTTTACTTGTATTTTATTAAATAATAGCCTGAGGTCAACATTATTTTGGTCTTCCTTTTGCATGCAAGGACCCATGCTCAGAGAGTTTAGGTAATTGGGACTGGCTTTGAACCTAAGGAGTTGGATTGGCCTACATAATGCTCCCCCAGTGAGCACTCTGCCCAGGCCACCACCCCAAGCCCGTTCACAGGCGCTCACCTGTAATTCTCCCCAGCCGTCCATGGTACATCTCTCCAACAAACCCAGCTATATGGGCGCCTAGACTTACTCCGACCATGTAAATGTCATCAAGAGAAGCTCCTTTTGCCTGGAATTTCAAAAGGTCCATCATTATAAATCATAAGGGGCCAAAGACAACAACAACAATTCCTAACAACATTTGTAGGAATTTCCTGGCTGTTGAGTTTGGAGAAGTATTTCTTTTTTTTTTGAGTCGGAGTTTTGCTCTTGTTGCCCAGGCTGGAGTGCAGTGGCATGATCTTGGCTCACCGCAACCTCTACCGCCGGGTTCAAGCAATTCTTAGAGAAGTATTTCTAAGCACCTTACATCTGTTATCTCATTTAAAGATCACAATACCCATGCAAAGTAAATAGCATTCTCTTGATTATGCAGCTGAGAAAACTGAGACCCAAAGTTGATGTCATCTGCCCCAGATCAAGTAGCTGGGGAGAGAACAGAGTATGATTCAAAATAGTCTGTCCACTAGGCATGGTGGCTCACGCCTGTAATCCCAGCACTTTGGGAGGCTGAGGCGCGTGGATCACCTAAAGTCGGAAGTTCAAGACCAGCATGGAGAAATCCCGTCTCTATTAAAAATACAAACTTAGCCAGACATGATGGTGCATGCCTGTAATCCTAGCTACTCAGGAGGCTGAGGCAGGAGAATCACTTGAACCCAAGAGTGGAGGTTGCTATGCGTCGAGATCCGCCATTGCGCTCCAGCCTGGGCAACAAGAGCGAAACTCCATCTTAAAAAAAAAAAAAAAGGGGGCCGGGCGCGGTGGCTCAAGCCTGTAATCCCAGCACTTTGGGAGGCCGAGGCGGGTGGATCATGAGGTCAAGAGATCGAGACCATCCTGGTCAACATGGTGAAACCCCGTCTCTACTAAAA